ATGAACAAGACTTCAGGGTTCACTTAATTGATTTGTTTAACTGTTATAAATTTTGATTCCTATTTATTACTCAATTGCATGTTTCACATCCCAAACAAACAATAGGAAGATTCAACTTTGAAAACCAATAATAATGACTAATGTATTTATTCTGAGAAAAATTAATTTCAATGAAGAACAAACTGATCTATCCTTACAAGCTATCTGAGAGCGACAATATATCTAATCGACAATACTGCAGTAAAAGATCAACCCGCAAAACAAATCTACCAATCAATTATATTCTAACAAATCACACATAAAAAGAGCATGACTAATCTTATATGAAATTTGATAAAATATAATTTTCAGGGTTTTCAGATCTGAAAATAATTAACAATCTCTCAAAATAAAATTAAACAATAAAATCTATGAAGGAATCAAAATAAAATAACAAGTCAAACTCTTCAATCAAGATCCTCCCTAATCTTGTTGAAAGTTTAGTTGCCCTTTAACATAATTCTCTAGCCTTGAAGAAGAAAATAGAAGTCTGGTAGCAGCCTCTCCAGCCCTTGGAACTCCCTCTAAAATAACTTAGATGTGTATTTATAGAATCCTAAAAACCCTAATTAGAAGGGAGGTCGGGCTGGGCTGAATTACTGCGCAAGGGGTCGACACTCTTTACAAGCTGCCGGCACTTTGAGTAGAGCGTCAGCTGCATCCTCCGTGTCGGGCTTTTGGCATTTTGTGCAATTTTGCTTAATGGCAGAATAACAGTCTTGGTCCCTGACTCTTGAGCCTTTAAACTTCTGATTTATCCTTAGATCCTCATCTTTTCAGCTCTTTACATTTAAGTCCTTTTTCTTCTAATTCTCTCCATTTAACATCAACCTTCAATCACCATAAAATTTGCACAACATGAATAAATGAACACTTATGAAATTATCTATAGAAAAATAAAACTCTTAAACCCATAATTCCACAAATGTCAATGGTTAAGTACACTTTAAATATACATTTTCATGCTTTCATCAACATGCATGACAAGAAACCAAACTAAGAAGTTTATTGTTGGACCAAAGAAAGCCCTTCTTGACAAGCTGAGCAAATGATCGACTCTGAACTAGAATGACCAAGATGAAGATGCCAAACATCAAGAGAGGCTATTATAGTAGAAAGAATGGTTGGATGCCTTGAAGACGAGCTAGACACTGGATATAATCCCCTTTGACTATTGCAAGTTTTGCTGTCCTTAACAGAAAATCAGAAGAATCAAACTCAACACTACAATTATTGTCCTTAACAAATTAATGAATTGAAACTAAATTTTTTTGAAGATATGGTGAGCAAAAACATTATGAAGCTTAAACGGATGATTAGATGTGGACAATATTGCATTACAATGAGCGACAGGCAATAAATAACCATTTCCAACTTGAATTAGTTATGAACCAGAATAAGAAGATGAGGTTAAAAGATTACCACAGGTGCTGGAAACATGAATACTGGCACCAGAATCAAAGTACCAACTGCTGCCTGGGGCAACAAGATAAGACATAGCAGTAGAGGCTGAAGGTGCGTTTAGCTGAGAGGGTTCAGAATTGCTCCGACTCAACAAGGGACACTCACGGGCTCTGTGATTTAATTGATCACACAATTGGCAAGCTAATGGTGAGAACAGTGGGGGCATTTGAGATCCATGTGGATTAATACCAGAAATTGGATGGCTTGAGAAATTAGTTGGATAACTGTTTAAATGATTATTGCCACCACTTAATGATCCACGG